TTACTGAGTGACCCAGGAATATGAAGGTTATATGTCTTCCCATTTCAGGAAATCAAAATAGGAAAAACGTTTAGACAAATGATATTGAACCAATTTTCAGAAATGGTAACATGCAGATTTATTATTCTGTGTTCAGTTCAAATTAAAACAAATATCATCTGTTATATTACTTAGTAATCTCCCTTAATAAAACTCTCTGGAAGTAAGGAGCAATTAATTCTATTAGTTGTTAATAATAACTAACCCTGTGCCACTGCTAACCATCATGGAATAAACTCATGTCTAGCTTCACTTCTCATCTTGTATTGATGCCTAATGCAATCAGAAAAAAATGGTGTCATGAGTAAAGGACAAAAAAAAAAATCATAAACCTCACATATCAGGATTTGTTAAAACAAAAAAAAAACAAAAAAAGTCTCCCTTCAACTGAAACAAATATACTTTAAACAAGAATATGACAAAAGCACATGCATGTCTACCACCATTAAGGTAAGAATTTTCAAAACTCTTGCTGAACATTTTTACACTCACACCTCAACATAGCAACTTCTTATGCTCCATCACCAAGTATTGACTTGAATAGTCCAAACCTAGGGTAGGAAACGGACAAATTCACACAAAAAGTGATGTTACAGTTCAACTCAATGAACTCCTTTAAAGAGCTAGGGAAAAGAACTAGACCAGAAAGTCGATACTTCAACATTGAAAGAGAAATGTTAGCTGTCATGTTTGAATTAGAAAGATTCCATCACACCAACTACAAACTACTAGAGTTGATAACATTGAAGAACTTGGTACATTCACCACTAAGACTAGCAAGAATGCTACTAAATGTGGAAGGGCATGACTTCATAATGAAGTAATACTCAGGCAGAACAGTCCCCACTGCAGATTGCTTATCAAGAGTATCTCTCAAACCTGGAATGCCAGTGAAGGGCATTGATCACAAAGAACAGCAGTGAGGGTAACGTCATTTGAAATACCTTTTTTTGGCACATAATATCAAAAGATGATATGAAATAGTATAAAACCAAGAAGGTTGAAGAAATTGCACACCCGAATCCTCCTGAAGACAAGAAACAGTTAATAAATTTTCTGGGGTTAGTAAACTACTTCAACAAATTTTCTCCACACTTAGCAAAGTTTACTAAACCGATACAGAACTTGATGTCCAAAGACAATAATTTCACTTGGACTCCTCAACAGAAAGTAGCCTTTGAATGCATCAAAACAAAGATTAGAAAAACCACAGTTAAGGTACTTCAATCCAAAGACACCCATAACAATGCAGGTTGATGCCTCAACTGCAGGGGTGTGGGAAGCACTGCTGCAGGACCAAATACTGTAGCATTCACCAGTCATACACTAACAGGACCAGAAACCTAATAATCCAACATTGAGAGAGAAAAGTTAGCCATTATGTTTGGATTAGAAAGATTCCATCACTATATATGGAGGCACAGGATGACAGTACACACTAAAAACAAACCACAAGAGTCAATAGCATTGAAGACTAAAAAGAATGGGACTAAAAGTGGAAGAGAATGACCTCATGATAAAGTATTGCAAAACAGTTACATTACAGATTGCTTATCAAGAGTATGCCCTAAACCCAGAATGCCAGTGAAGAGTATTCATCTCAGTATACATATGCATAATCAACACCTCAAAGCATCTCCAACACTGTAAAAAAGGAAACTCTAAATGAGTTAACAAAAGTCATCATAGCAGTATGGCCAACAAATAGAAGCAGATACCCACCCACTGTCTTGCCCTACTGGAACTTCAGAGAAGTGGGAATACAGGATGGTGTGCTATTGAAACAAACAAGATTATAATACCAGCTTTACTCCCGTGAGACATACTACAGCAACTATATGCTTCTCACTACCAGGGAATCAACAAAACAAAGCTAAGAGCAAGAATGGTGGTACTGAATAAGGGTCAATTGAGACATCAAAGACATGGTCACAAAATGTCAAACATGCTAGGAGCACCAGCCAAGCCTTTGAATGGAGACACTACTCCAACATGAAACCTCATCCTACTCCTGGTAATATATAAGTACTGATCTTTTTACTATGGAAGGCAACAATTACCTCCTTCCAGCTGATCAGTTTAGCAAGAGTCCATTCATAAGATGTCTCCATTCCCCCACATCTGCAGCAGTAATAAAACAACTGAGGCAACGGTTTGAGGAAAGAGACATACCAGAGATAGTCTACAGTGACAAGAGACCATAATACCAGAGAATCAGGCAATGATGACTTACAAAGCAATGCCTGTCCCAGCCTACCTCAAATCATCAGCAAAACTACTCAATAGCCGACCTATGAGAACACCCCTTGTCTCCAAACAGCAGCCAGGAGATAAACGCACTCAGGACTACTTTCATCAAAGTAGAGACTGAGAAAAGGAATATCATGACAAGTTCAACTGGCAGCATGTACCACTGTCATAACTGGTCAAATATAATAATGGGAGCATCCATCACAGGAACTGACAGATCCTCAGGCCTACCAGGATAGAGTTGATTAGACCTGACCTCAACATTGATGGCAACCACCCACTGACAATAACAAACAGTACAACATACTCCCCAAACATCAAGATGAAAACAGCACAAAACACCCAGCTGACACCACAAGCAAAACGGTATGACCATCCCCAGTCAAGCACTGTTCAGGCAGGACAATCAAAACACCACATTAAAAAAAAAACAACAAAAAAAACACAGTCTTTCTTTCAGGTTTACATTGCCACACAGGCTGAACTAAAGACTATAAACATCACATATAAAGTACTAACCAGTTAATATTGAATAAAAAAAGGGAGATGTTATATTAAAGAACAATTAACTCCCTTAGTTTCTAATAATAACTAACCTTCTTCCATTACAAACCATCATGGAATAAACACATATTTACCTTTGCTCATCATCTTGTCTCGATGCCTAAGGCAACCAGAAAAAAAACACATACAATAGCTGAAACATTATGAATGTGACAGTAAAGATGAAGGCAACGTAAATAGTGTAAATAGTTACAATACCTCATCTCAGAAATATAGATTGATATTGAAGATAAATATGGCAATAAAGATGAGAACAATAGTTTGAACAATATAAATAGTGTAAATAGTTACCTCATCTCAGAAATATAGATTGATATTGAAGGTGAATACGGCAATAAAGATGAGGACAATAGTTCGAACAATGTAAACAGTGTAAATAGATACAATACCTCATCTCAGAAATATAGACAGATAATTTTTATTTGTTCAAAATCATTTTTTGGTAATGTAACATAGCTTTATTCTTTTTAATAATCAATTGTTAATTTTTGTTTGTCAGTATTCATCTGCAAATTAAAAATTTTTACTGTCACCCCACATTTATATAATGCAGTCTCAAGTGATGAAAAAATGGCCAGCTCATTCTATCCCTCCAGGAATTACCTAACTCCTTCTACTATGCTTTATCTTTACAAGAGTCAGATTAGACCAAAAATGCAATACTTCTGGCATATCAGGGCTGAAGCTACTCTATACTTATTTCCTAGCCTTTATGGAGCTCAAAATAATTTATGCATTCTTGAAAGACTTATTTCCCACCCTGACACATCTTTCCCACAGACATAATGTTGCAAGACTATCGTTATTTTAATGAAAAATGTTCAGATGAGTTTGATTCTTTAGTTCTGCCAGTTCAGATCTTTACAGCTAGAACATGCCATCTACATGTAGTGTCAAATCAACCCTCCTTTTCTCCATATTCTAAATGTAAGAAGAAAGTTTTATTCAGACATCTTTTTCTCAAGAACTCCAACTCCCAAGTGAATCGTCCTCATTTTTGTTGCTATATTTACCACAATGTTTCGGCCGTTGTACACTCTGGCCTTCTTCAGGTGGTTGGAATGTCAAACTGAACCATTTATTTCACTCACTGGGGTAGACTGTTCTAGTTCCACATGCCATGAGTAATGGATGTCAGTTATTAGTTATCTCCTGTTAATTCCCCTCTCCAAGTTCTCCACTGTCTTAACCATGTATTGAACTCACATTCTTTAGAGAGGGGAATTAACAGGAGATAACTGACAGCCATAAGACATGGCACATGGAATTAGAACAGTCTACCCCAGCAAGTGAAATAAAGGGTTCAATTCGACATTCCAACCACCTGAAGAAGGCTGGAGTACAACTGCTGAAATGTTGTGATAAATATGACAACAAAGATGAGGATGATAGTCTGAACAATGTAAATAGTGTACATAATACCTCATCTCCTCATCTCAGAAATATAGACATATATTGTTTGCACTAGTATATATCTGCCAAGACTGACTATACAGTCTGCCAAAAATGTATACACTCTTCAGGAAAGGGAAAATTTGTCTTTTGTAGTTTTATCAAATTGTGATAACACTGTTTACTTTTGTATGACAGATGGCATTACATTGGCAACCCTTAAACAAGAAATATGACACTCTGACCAACATTGCCCAAGCAGTAGTTTGCCATGCTAATAAATATCTAGAAGATGAAGGCCACCAATTTGAGCATCTCTTGTGAGTGTAGAGTCCAAATGTAACTTGCATTAATCTTGTGATCTTTGAATAAATTTTGTATTACAATATCTATACAAGTTTTTCCTTTGCTGAAGTGTGTATACATTTTTGGTGGATTCTGTAGGTATAACGGTTGTAAAGGTATACAATTCAAGCTTCTGCACATCTGTGTTTATTAATATGGAAGTTTTAAAGTACATACCTTCCCTGCAATCATTTATGCTAATGGACAGTATGAGATGTTAAACCAAACAACTGATTCAAAATTCCAATATTATGTTTCTAAGCAACCACACCCCTATAGAGTTTTATAGCTGCAATATGCTTATCTTTGACTGTTAAACGATAGGAGTTAAATTATCAGTTTTCCAAAGTAATGAAGCTTGACTGTTTCATGATTGCAGAGTTCAGCAATTAATAGAGAAACTCTGATACAAATATTGCTTGGAGTCGAAGAGGAATGGTGAGTAAGGTAAGGGAACCTGAGAAAGTTGCAAAGAGAGAGAGAGAGAAAAGAGAGAGAGAGAAAGAAAGAGAGATAGTTATACTGGAAATTGATAAATTGAAGAATGATATCGTCCTGTTAGTGACGATGGAGATTTCAGAGGTGTGGAATTCAATGCTATTCTTGTAGATATGAGTAATTGGATGAAGAAAGTAGTGGAATGGTTTATCAAGGAATCAGTGAATCAAGTTCAAATTCCAAATGCTTTTGTTTGCTTCAAATACATTTGGCAAAGGCATGAACGCACAACTCCCTATACTATCTTCTCTCATATACCTTAACAAAAGGTCTCTTCATTGGTTTGACTAAATGTTTGATGCAGATTAATACATTCAAGTAAAGTATTCTTCCAAATGCTTTTGTTTACTTCCAATACCTTTGGAAAAGGCATGAACACACCTCTCCTTATACTTTCTTTTCTCAGGTTTCTTAACAAAGGTCACTTCTCTGGATTGAATTGATTGATGTAGTACATTCAGGTAAAGAATTCTTCCAAATACATTTGCTTGCTTCAAACTATTACCTTTGGAAAAGGCATGAACACACTTCTTCCATACTCTATTCTCTTATACACATTAATAAAAGGTTTCTTCACTTGTTTGACTGATATATTCAAGTAAAATATTCTACTAAATTCTTTTGTTTGCTTCAAATACCTTTGGTAAAAGCTTGAACACACCTCTCCCTATATTCTTTACTCTCAGATAACTTAACAAAGGTCTATTCTCTGGATTGACTGAATGATTGATACAAACCAGTACATTCAGGTAAAGGATTCTTTTAAGCAAGAAAGGCTTGACCCCACCTTTCCCTAAACTCTGTTCTCTCAGGTATAACAATGATCTCTTCACCAGCTTCACTGATGTATCTTTAATTCAAGGATTCTTTCAAATGATTTTGTTCACTTCCCACTATTACCTTTGGGAAAGGCATGAACACACTTTTGAATTATCATTTTGCTCTGGTGGATCCACAGCTGATGTCTTAACTGTTATGACTCACAGAATCAGTGAGGCACTAGACATTAAATTCATCCCAAAGACCATTGTCCTATATCAAAGACCTTTGACAGGGTGTATAATCAGGAGTTTCTACATAAACTATCCGGCTATGGAATCTCTGGAAGTAGTTTCTCAATTATCAAGTCCTCCCTAACAGAAGGTCATTGTTAATGGCCATTCATTGGAAGCCCATAAAATCAATGCTGACATTCCTCAGGGTTTTCTCCTCACTCCTACCTGCTTTCTAATGTGTATTAATGATCTGCCCAAGACCATACACTTATCTTTAGTTAATGTCTATGTAGATGATACAACAGTTTATAGGTGCACGTCCAAAAATCTGGATGACTACAACCTAGCAGCTGATCTCACTTCTAACCTTACCTGATGTCTTAATGAGGTAAGGATTGGTCTGTAAAATTCAATATGTACAAAACATCCCAAGAACTGCTGCTTTGTCAAACAGATTCCTGGCAGGATATTTTCAAAATCATTACAATCTTGACCTCTTCAATACTACATTTAACCATTTTCTTTCTTGCATAGCCCCATGAACTTCACTTCTTACCCTTTCTTATGTTGATACAACACCACACAGTAACCCTCTACCTTGAATGGCTCTTGGGCCTTGTACTGGGTAAACATTAATATTAAAAAAAAATAAACTAGTAATATTCTACAATTACTAAGCAGATCTAGCACTTTCACCTGTCATGATGGATGGATGTTCCTTAAAGAAGTTTTGAATATCTATTGAGATTCAAGCACACCCCAGACCTCAATTGGAATTCATATATTGGATCTGTTGCTAAAGATGCTGGAAAAATGTTTGCTTCATTGTACCACTTCAGTTAGGATTTGACCTCATCTGCTATACTCTATCTTTACAAAAGCAAGATCAAAACAAAATGTTGCAAGCCTTTTGCTACTATATCACTATTTCTATAGCAAGTGTTCTGACAAGCTACATTCTTTAGTCCCACCAGCCTTGAACTTTGCAGCTGGAACCCACCATGCCACATACACAAAAAGGAATCATACTCATTCCTTTAATAAGAAGTAATTTCCATTTGAGCAACTTATTCCCAAGGATTTCTACTTTGTGGACCAGACTCTTGATAAGATGTTTTCCTGATCACTACAGTTTTGATCTCTTCAATTCTGGGGTTAATCATTATCTTCCCTACATAACCTTACAAACTGCACTTCTTGGCTTTTCTTATTATCATGCAACACCCCATATTAACACTCTACCTTGAGTGGTTCTTGAGCCTTGTCTTGGATGGGCATTCATAAAAAAAAATGAAAAAGATCTAAGTATTAATTCTAATTGTTTTATTTGTTATGTTTTGCATATCTCTCTGTGTAGTTGTAGTCGCAGTACAGTTCTCTATGTCCTGAATAGCAACCGGGTTTGCTAGGCATAGCCCCACTATGTTCACTAGTTGTTCTCTATTTATACTTGTCTGTTTAATTTGCATATAATACTACATTATTGATGAATTCTAAATAGTTTTCCTCAGTATTGAGTGACTCCAAATTTTCCTCTGCATGGCTCAAGCAAAACATACCATTAATTGAAATAATTTAATCTAGCTTGTTTAAAGTATATTTTATGAATCCCAAATCTTCAGCTATTAAGTAAAAATGTTTTGCAGCTTATCTGTTATTAGTTTATGTACTGCTAAATAAAAAGGATCTAGATGAACATCCTTGATGTGTGCTAATTCCATAATTTATGTCAGGGATTATAGTCTACTATAATTTATGCATATTATGTGAAATATTATGGTGTGTTCAATTATTTTGCTTGTTATTATGACAACCAATTACTGATTTATTAAAGACAAACACTTCCTTTGCTAGTTCTATTTTGGTCTACCTTGGTGGGTACAGGAAAATCTAACAGAACTAACTTTGTATCCATGTGATTTCTTTTTGCTTTAGCTTGAGAGGCATAGGTAAGTCTAGTATACCAAAGCGTCACTCGTTAGCAGTCCTCTAAAAAGATATAGAGTTCTTGAAGTTGGCAGGAATGCCAAGCTGTTACATGTTTTAATACTATTGTTTACCCAATAGAAGCCCAAGGAACCATAAAAAGGAGAAAGGAGAAAGTGCAGATTAAGTAGATATATTAGACAGATAATATTTGACCATAGACTTGAAGAGGTTAAGATTCTAGTGATTAGGGAAGCTGTCTGAGTGGAAGGTCTTCCTTAACACTCATATTTTGGTATGGAGAGGTGAGGAACTGAACAATAATCTCAAATGTAAAAAGTGACTTGGATTAATTACCAGAAAGTAATGCAGTATCTTTTCCTTTCATTATTGCAAAAACTACTGTATAGTCCAGATCTTTCTAGAAAAAAAGGGAAAGTTACAAAGACTGTTTGAAGATGATACCCTAGAAGTGCAATGACTCACATATGTTAGCCAATCAACATATCTCTTCCATGACAGTCTTGGCTAACTACAAAGAAATCCACTCTTGCTAACTCAGTCTTTTTGGTGGGGTATCTCCTTTTTACCATAATTTGCATCTTTTTATTGTCTTTTTCTTAATTATTTTTATTTAATTAGCAAGACCCACCATCAAGAAGAGAAAGTTGAAATGGTATGGGCATGTCATAAGAGCCAATATTCTTTCCATTGCCATCCTAAAAGTTACCACCTTAAGTAAAATAAAAGACAGACAGAGGAATAAATGATCTGACAATGTCACTGAGTGATCTTGAATATCCTTCACAAAGACTTAAACAGTGGCTCACAACCAAGACACATATTTCTGGCAGGATTTGAACCTATCTCCTTATTTGTGGTTTAGACCACTTGGTCACAAAGACCATCACAGTTCAGTAAGATTCAATTACCCTTTTGAAGAATGCACATCTCATTTAGATCTTCTTGGAAGCTTATATATGTTCAAAAGTCTAAATCTGCTGACTTTTTTTTATTTTCATATCCGAAACATAAACAAAGTGATTTCTAAGGAATTGATGCATTTTATTTTTGTTGTGGCTGTGTTAGGGCCTGAAAAAAAGACACAAGAGAGGAATTGAGTTAAAAAATATATTAACAGAAAGCAATAATACAAACGAGAGTATTACAGCAAAAATGTCAGTCTGACTGTCAGAGCTGACTGCTGGAAACTACACTATGCAAAAGGCAGTACCTGCTCCTATTTGTAGCTGGGAGAGTCCATGCATGCATGGGTAAATTACCATAATTTTTAATCTGACATTATTTTACATTTTTCTTTAAGTCTGTAGAATGTGCAGGCAAGTAAATACAATTCACACTGTTTAAAATAAGTAAAAAACAGGGTTTCTATTCAAAAAAAGTATGAACAAAAATAATGTTTACATTAATAATAAACACATACTTATATAAAGTACAATATAGCTCATAAAAGAAAGAGAAAGAGAAATTTATTTCTGCAGATCTTCCTCCATTTTGAATTGTCATTTAATAATCTTTTACACTATTATGTATAATGACCCACCATCCCAAAACCCATTATGACCATAGGGACACCATGTGTACTGTAATTGTGGTGTCTAGAGCAAGATAACCTCTTCAGACTGGTTTTTATTCATTTTTTATTCATTGTTTTCCTTCTCTTAATCTGGCTTCCATGCAAGACAAGAGAGCCCAGTCTTGGCCTGCTATTTAACCCACAGTGAAAGGAAGATGGATTCATGCCTTTTTCAAAGGCATTAGCACAAAGTGAACAGAAAAGAATCAACAAGAGTTTGAACCCAGCTCACAAATTTCATTTCTGCACTGATAACTGTTATGCAATTTGCGCATTTGAATGATTTATACACATGACTAAAATTCTTCGTCCAGGAGCCAAATGTCTTAAGCCATTTGAAAATCACTGTGTCTTCAGATTTCTGTCATTCTGTGATCTCTGCCAATTGCAGCAACATTAATATTTATGTTTAATGGCTTTTGTCACTTTGTGATATTCATGGTCTGAAAATGGTGTGGAAGGAAAGGAAATATAGATTTATCTTGCTAAAGATATGATGCAGAAATTGATAGCAATAGAGGAAAATAGAGGAAGTCGACAATGTTCAGTTTGGTTGCACTTGTTGTGTACTAAGATTTAGAACTTCCTTATTTATATTTCCACATTTTATATATTCATGCATTATACCAACATATGGAGATGAATATATATCCAAAGAAGTTTTGTTAAATTCAACCAACAAGGTATTTCTGTTTAATCATTGACTGAATTTTTCCAATTTTCAAATAAGACTTGGAATCAAAATTGTGAATAACCTGTCTGAAGTTCATGTTTTCTACTGTTTTAGCCAATAAAATATTGTTTACCACACTGACAACACTCAGTTCTTGAAAATGACTGAGTAGTTCAACAAAAGCAGAAAAAACATAAACTTCAGATAATTTACTCAAAATTTTGCTCTTGATGTACAATCAAAATTGAAAAAGAAAATACAAAATTAAACAGACAGACCTTACTGCTGGATGATTTTAACAAAACATGTTTAAATGAATTTTTGCTGTCTAAATATGCCACTATATACAATACACAGATTGTGTCAATTAATTTTAATAATCAACTTTTCCACATTAAGAATTGTCCAAAAATCATTTTAAAAAAAGTACAATAAAAATATGATCAAAGCTTTCAAATTTCTTAAGTCATCATCAGGGCAAATAGAGACAATTGGTGAGTTTCATAGAACTAGTGTTTTATGACATAGGCAAAAAGGTGTGACATGTGTTTCTTTTAGAGCATTTTCCCTCCTTGTCTGAGAAGGATTATTTGTAATTTGGAAAACTTGATCATTAAAATGTCAAGTTTTATATATATATATATATATATATATATATATATATATATATATATATATATCTTATAGCCTTGGATGGCAACTCATATAAAAGGACAACTCTGAATTCAAAACCTGCGGAGGATTATTTGGGTACTGTGTGGCACATATAGTGCACCAGGTCTCTGCATTCGGCCCTTCAAAAAGTGTGGTTGGTTCTGCACAAAGCCTTCACCACTAAACTCAAATCATATATGCTGATGTCTAGCTGTCAGTTCCTAGGAACTGAGGTGCCTGACCCTCATATGGCAAATGCAATGGGAGAGTTCACTGTATATCTCATATATATATATATATATATATATATATATATATATATATCTATCTACCTCTTTATGTATTTTTTAGACCAAAATTAAATATGCTCATGTCACTTAGGTGATAACATTAAAAAAGTCATTACATATTTACCTCAAACAATATAAACATTATACATTCCTTAGTTTGTTTGTTTTTTACTGTTGCTTTTTTTCAAGTCCTATTTTTGACTATGAATAACTAGAAATATTTTATATCTACTCAAAAACTTGTTAACCTTATGGCTGTCTTGGTTGGTATTTGCAATGAATAAAAAGTCTCTCCAAGCAAACTTTAATTTGATGTTTATTCTGTGAAGTGAAAAATTGCAAACTGATGGGTTTACAGAAGAAACAATATTAATTTGCTCATGCAATAAGCTGCAAATTGATTTGCACACCCTGAGGAGGAACAACACAACAATTGTTATCTTACAGCCATTCTGATTTTTCTTGCTTTATTTCTTTCCATTTTTTTCTTTTATTTTTTAGCTTTTTTTAAGTATTTTTTAGTTCCTTTTTTTCTAAGAATTTATTTTCATTTTTATCATTACACATTTTCTCTTAGACTTAACAAGTTTTTCTGTTTTCATTTCTCTCTATTGTTTACTTAAATAATTTTTGCTTTTGACAAAACTTTACATTTTTTTTATTTGTCATTTGACTGTTTTTCAAATATATTTGAATGCCACATTTTACTTAATTTTTCATCACATTTTAGATTATCAGGCAAATTCTCTCAAATAAGGCAACAAACAAATATTCTTTGACTTGGATTCAATTCTTTTTATATTTCACATTGGCTAGTTTTTTTACCTTTATTTTTTTCTTTTGCTTTCTTTCAGTGTTATTTTTTTCTTTACCTGCTATGTTTGCAACATTCAAATGACTATATTTGATGGCCCAGTGGATGCCAGAACATGAAAAACACAACACTCCCCACCCAATTTCCCCTGGGAATGTTCAGAATAATGATTTTATTCTATAATGTCCAAGGATATTTTTAGCTTGCAAAAAAAGTCTCACCTTTGCATATAAAGTGCAACAATAGATTCATATGTGTCATATATACTATTAAATGCACTGTGTGTTTAATATTGTTTCATAATTTTACTTACGTTGAAATTTTAATCCCTTTAAAATTCATGTTACAGTGTTCCTTAATTACGTGGCTGATCATGGCTTTCCACGTCTTATCCTTTGTAGTTTTAAGTGATGTGTGTCTCTTTATTACCCTTCTCAGTTGCTGATCTACTTAAACAGGCTTTTTAGGTAGGTTATTCAGTGCTTTACTCTGTTCCTCTTGAATTTTCCAATGATGTTCTTTGCAGCACCAAAAAGCTGTAACATAAGAGGAAGTGGGAAAATCAGGCATGGCTGACCACATATGGAGAGAAAAGGGAGATCACTATCTTCTGTGGGATCAGGTTGAAATCATAGACAAAGAACATCATTGGAAAATTCATAAACTTAAGGAATCAGCACATATGCTAGGCCACAAAAATCTCCTGAGCTGACCAAGCATAGAAATGAATACAATATGGGAACCAGTAATAAGGAGTGCCAGAAAAAACAATAATAACAATGGAAATTGCAATATGAGCACTGGTAAAAAATAGTCGCTGAAGACATTAGGTTTATAAGTCCTAAAAATTCATACCTTAAGGACACATGGCACCATGGATTAGGGTGTTGGTTAAATCCAGTGACAGGACCCAAGGAGTTGTGAGTTCAATACCTGGTTAAGACAGTGGAGAACTTGGAGATACAGACTTACATCATTGAAGAGAAACCAACCATAAATGCACGCAGTAATATTAGCCATTTCCATATACTTCTACTTAGAGTTGTCATTATATTACAACGGTTCTTCAAAATATTGACCTAGTAGGGGTTAAATACTTATGAAATACTTGTTGTCCAAATTATTGTTTGTGTCACAATAAAATTTTGCCTCTTCAAGTTATTTTGCATTTTGATCAAATGGCAAAAAGATCATTTAAGTCAATTTGAATTCTAGTTGGCAACACTAGAAAATTTGGAAAAGTTCAAGGGGCAGGGTGAATAGTTATGCAAAACACTGTATATTGAGACAAAGTTTTGTTCTTGTTTTATCAGTGAGGAAAATTGTCTAGCATTTACTGCCATATAGGAGGGTTGATATTACATTCAGATCATTACTCTTTCCTTTATTTCAACTGAAATTTTAATCTTTATTCAAATTTAATATTTCTTAAGGTAATTTCTCTATATTTATATGAATGTAATGTTTGTTACTTAACAGCAAATCTCTTTTTTTTATTCATTTTTTCTCCTTCACTAACAATATTTTCATCTTGCACTACACTGTAAGTTGCTACAAAACCAAAACATTAACCTAAGAACTTGAGTCCTGTTCTTAAATAACCTTGTCAGATTGAGACTCTCATATGAATATCTTGCACAGTACCCAACCCATTTAGAAATATTTAACCCATCAGTTATATACAACCAGTTTTTATATCAATATTTAAAAATGTCTTCAAACAAAATGAAGCCTATAGAAGATCATCCTATTTCAAACCTAGTCGACTGGCACTACAGAATCACAAACAATGAACTGTAACAAAAACAAAAAACAGATCACTTCAGGACTTTCAACAGCAGTAACAACTAAAATGGATATGATGTTAATGTTCTACACTACTTCAAACAAAAGTTTAGGAAGGAAACCCTCATAAATACAGGAAAGTGTAACAATAGTTATTGGACTTGAGAAACCTATTTTCCTGAAAAAATTGTTATAATTTTCAACAGAAAGCAGCCCTGACTGTTCAGTTAATGAATCCCAAATGTTTCCTTATAAGGATTATTATGGTTGAGAAATGATGTCAGCTTCACTATTCAAAAGATAAAGCTTTTTTCTTCTAGTTAGAGTTTTATTTTTCTGTAAAAATTTCATGGTTATTTTGATATTCAGCATTCTAATTTTATTGCAGGACCTGCTTATTGCTTATACATATAGCATTCATTTTTCCATTGCAATATGTGTAAGATTACCTTCATTTTATCTTTTCTACATAAATATTACTTATCTTATCATGTTACAGCTGTAATTTTGTAAATTGAGCAACTCTTGTTTTGGTGATGAAGTGCATTTTCTTTCAAAAGTCAGTTATACAATTTTCTTTTTTTCTTTTGCATGTAAAACTCAATTTTTAAAATTTCTAATCCAAGTTGTCATTTCAAAATATTTTTGTATATAATATATAAATATGAATGCTTCAATGCAAAGCACTTTCTATGCATATAAATATTTTAATATTTCATAGAGTGCAGACATACATATATTTTCATATGCCGTAATTGCAAGAGAAAAGTGAAGAAAAGAGTTTGAAAGTACCAATTTTGTAACTGTTTTTACTACAATGTTTCAATCAGTGTATGTTTTAGCCTTCCTAGGATTAGGGTTAGATTTAATGTTAAGGTTAGATTGTATGAATTTGAGCATTGAAATATCATTATTTCATGAATTATTCAGACTTTGGCATTGGCACCCACTCACATCTGAACATCAGGATCATCATCCTCTCTGCTTATTCCCTTTCTCCCCTATGGTGGCAGTGACAGAGATGGCTGTGAATGCCCAGCCTACTCCTGAAGATTCATGAGCAGCAGTCACAGATGACTGTAGGTGGTGGACACAGACGGGTGAGTTGGGCCTTCTTGACACCATGTTGCAGATCCTCTTCATATTGACGGTTGGACTCAAAAGTCTTGGTACCTCCTTGGATGGTCCTCCACAAGCAATGACTTCCCAAATCTCAGGGTCAATGTTGGCCTGTGTCAAGAATCTTTTCAACTGATTCTTGAAGCATTGTTTTGGGCCTCAGTGAAGCCTCTGGTGAGTTCTCCAAACAGGATGATACATTGGAGTCAAGTGGGACACTTTCTAGACACGTGAACTGCCCAGCAAAGGTGATGTTGAAGGATGGTATTGCTAAGGAGAGATGTCTGAGAGAGAACCTTATTGTTGGTGATGTGGTCCTCCCAACTGTTGTGAAGAATTCTTCAGAGCTTCATTTACTGGAAGAGTTCTTTTAAAAACTGTTTTAAAATCTATAAGTACTACTCTGTATACTGAAGCATTAGCTACCTCTCCTGATAGTTGGAATCCCTGTAGCATCTTATTTCATTCAGTACAGTTACAATCTCCTAATCCAAATCCCAGTAATATGAAATACAAAAGGAACTGACCTGTATATTGTTATATTTTGAGAGAAAAAAAATCCTTCATGTTATTGTGTATGTGATGCAATATTATTCCCTGGTATCTCATTGATAAGTAAGCAAGTCCATGTTGAGTCTGTTAATACAAGGCTTGGATCTGCCATGCCACATCAAAATCAGATAATCTCCACCAACATATTTATTTATATACGCACATGCATATATATTACCATAAACCCATATTCATCAGCACCCACTCACATCTGAGCATCAGGATTATCATCCTCTCTACTTAATCCCTTTTTCCCCTCTGGTAGCAGTGACAGAGATGGCTGTGAAGGCCCAGCCTACTCATATAGAATCATGAGCAGGAGTCACAGAGGAGTGTGAATTGTGGACATGGCTAGGCATATTAGACACTCCTGACAGCACATCACAGATCCTCTTTATATTGATGGTTAGACTCAAAAGTTTCAAACACCCCACCTCAGATGGTCCTATGCCAGGAGAGCTGATTTGCAGCAGTGGTTTCTCAGGTACCAGGGTTGATGTTGGTCTGTGTCAGGGATGTCTTCAATTGATTCTTGAAGCATCATTTTGAGCCTCAGTGTAGCCTGTTGCCACTGTGAGTTCATCAAACAGGATGATATGTGGAAGTCAAGCAGAACACATTCTGCACACATGACCCACCCAGAGGAGGTATTAATATTCAGAATTAATGTATGGCTGTCAGCAAAAGGAACAACCCTACATGCAAATTACAAATTGGAAATAGCAAAATCAAGCAAGTACAACAATTTAAATATATGGAAAATGTTTAAAAAGAGGACAGAAAGTGCAACATTGAAATCGGAAGGCACATTGAAATAGTGAAAGATTCCTTCCAAAAGCTAAGCAAAGTATTAAAAAACAAGAAAACTTTGTTAGAAACAAAGAAAAGGATACTGAACTGTCAGTCCTCCTATAGGGCAGTGAATGCCGGACAATCTCCACACAGATGAAGAAGAGACTTGAAGCGACTGAAATGTGGTTCTACAGAAAGATGCTGAGAATACCATGGAGTGAATATATGAGCAATGACAAAGTTTAAGAAATAATGAAAACAAAAAGGACACTTATACTCAACACCAGAAGAAAGTTGAAAATTCTAAGTAACATAATGAGGAAAGAATGCTTGAAAAATTTGATGCTCACAGGATAGACTGAAGGTAAATGTTATATTCCGTGCTAATAGGAATATATAGTTGAAAAACATGGTGGATAAAATAAGTAAAGGTCTATTGTAAAAATCAGTACAATAAGAATAAAGGTAATAGTTATGCACAAGGTCATTGCTAGTCAATCTAGTAGTGAGTGCTACTATTGGAAGGTCGGTAGTTCTTGTGTAAGTCTGAGTTGTAATCAACAGATTCTAGCTAGTATATTAAGCTACCCCTGCCACGAGGGTTGCATGTGGCACAAGGCCGGTTTAACGTGGGTTCTGCAAGCCTGTATGCTCAGCCAAAAATATTCCCTTTTTGAACCCACATAAACGGGTTCAGGGTCAGTCTACCTCCCCGAACGAGACTCTGCCCTTGTCAGAGTTCCTCTTTGCTCAGAGGCAGAGAGTTCAACTGTTTAGCTAGAACAGATCCCAGCTAGTCTCTGTAGTCCATTGATACTTATAGGTAGTTACTACCTATAGTGTAGTCACTCATGGGGATGACAGGTTATTCCATTACATCAGTAATGTCAGATTTGACTTAATTCCTATTTATATTTAATATTAAAATATTAAAGCATGAGATGTAGATTGATACATCATTATAAAAAACAGTACAATACAAATAAATGTAACAGTTATGCACAAGGTCATTGCAAGTCAATCTAATAGTGAGTGCTACTATTCTTGCTTAAGTCTGAGTCATATTTAACAGATTCCAGCTAGACTCTGTAGTCTGTTGACTTACAGATACTTATAGGTAGTTACTACCTATAGTGTAGTCACTCATGGGGGTGACAGGTTATTCCATTACATTGAAAGTTTGAAATGAGCACCCGGATGATTCAGAGGAGAGTTGGGAAAAAGTGCTGTGGTCAGACGAGACTAAAATTGAGCTTTTTGGCACCAACTTAACTTGCTGTGTTTGGAGGGAAAAAAATGCTGACTTGGACCCCAAGAACACCATCCCAACCATTAAGCATGGTGGTGAAAACATTATGCTTTGGGGCTGTTTCTCTGCTAAAGGGACAGGATGACTACACTGGGTTGAGGGGAAGATGGATGAGGCCAAGTGCAGGGAAATCTTGAGTGAAAACCTCCTTGCCTCAGCTAGGACACTGAAGATGGGTCATGGATGGGTTTTCCACAATGACTCAAAGCATATCACTAAGGCAACAAAGAAGTGGCTCAAGAAGAAGCACATTGAGGTAATGGAGTGACCTAGTCAGTCTCTGGACCTTAATCCTTTAGAGAATCTGTGGAGGGAGCTGAAGCTTTGAGTTGCCCTACAAACCTTAAGTATTTGGAGAGGATCTGCAAAGAGGAGTGGGCCAAAATCTCCCCTGTGATCTGTAAACACTTGGTAACCAGCTACAGGAAACATCTGGCTGCTGTGATTACCAACAAAGGTTTCTTCACCA